TCTAAATACTGGTTATCTTTTTTGGTTCTCTGCCCACCTGATTATTGCTGGACTGTGATCATAAGTACCTTCATTCCTATAATGTACCTCTGAATTAGGTAGAATAATTATCCATTCTGTGTTTATCAGCACTCTATCTATCCTACTGTATACTCTATCTTCACTTCTTTGTTTATTGTTCCATGTATAAAATGCCCCTGAAGATTTCATCTCTTGTAGTTCACATTCCTCTACACAATTCTTAAAATCCCTTATCTCTGACATTCTCACTTGACTTCCCATATCTTCTCTATTTAATACACAATTGAAATAACCCATTACTGCCCATGGTCCCCTCATTTGTTCATTAATCTTTTTGATTTCTTCCCACAAGCTCTTCCTTAATGCTGCATCATTAAAACCATACACTATAGTTACTGCAAAGACCATTCTATTACCTCTATGTTGTATTTCACATTGAATTAGCTGTTCTGTGACACTTATTATGTTGACATCAAATATCATTGGCTTCCATAACACCCATATTCTCCCCCCTTTATGTTTACTCAAGACCAACCACTACACAGGTTAAGAGCAGCTCTTTGAGCTTTAGCTCTCTTAACCTTTGTCTCCAAGAGACCAAACATCCCAACCTGAGAATTGTGCATAAACATATGCATTTCCTTCTGTTTGTCAGGATTATTCAGTCCCCTGGTGTTCCAAAACCCAATTCTATTCATTCTTTGGGGGATCTCCCCCACCCTTCTCCCCTATTACTCCGTTTTTTCTTTCATCACCACTTCCTTTTACATTTAACTTCATTACTGTCTGACTGGNACCTTCTGTTTGTTAGGATTATTCAGTCTCCTCGTGTTCCAAAACCCAATTCTAATCATTCTTTTGGGGATCTCCCCCACCCTTCTCCCCTATTACTCCGTTTTTTCTTTCATCACCACTTCCTTTTTACATTTAACTTCATTACTGTCTGACTGGTACTTTCCTCCTCTGAGTTTTGTTGCTTCTCTAATGTTTTAAATGCATTTCTTATTTTCAATGGCTCTTCTGGTATTATCATTCCTCTTCTTGCATATTTCCCAGTTCTATACCCTTGTTTATAGTATCTTCCCCTCTCCATTTGTTCATATCCTCCCTGCTGGTTCTGTATTTGTTGTTCCTCTTTCTCTATTTGTGTTTGCCCCTGCTGTGTTCCTTCTCCTGCATTTTGTTGTACTATTTTTTCCTGCATTTCTAACTCTTGCTTCTTCTCATTCTTCTCATGTTCCTCATTTATAAATTTTGGACATTCATTCAATTCATGACCATAATTTCTGCATTTCTCGCACATAACTGGTTTCCATTCATAATGAATTTTCTGTTCCACTATCTTTCCTGCCTCATTTTCAAACCTGATACTTGTTGGATATTCATGATTCAATTTCACTTCAACTAATACTCTTGCATATGTTAGCCTTTCTCTCTTTGTAGTTGCAGCATCTGTTCTCAAAGATTTTCCTATCAGCCCAGTAATTTTTGTAAGTGATGTTCGCCCCCAATATTTGACATCCAGCCCCACCATTCTCACCCATATTGGAATGTTATCCATTTGTTCCTTAGTAATTTCCATATCAGACTTCGATGGCTTAACGATCATTGGTTTTCTGTCAAACATATGCACTCATTCTTCTACCACATTATTCCTGCTTTCTATACTGTGAAATCGAACCATGAAAACACTCCTGTTTAGTTGAGCTACCTTATCAATCTCTAATCCTCCCCAAATTCTTCTAAAATAACCATCAATTACTACTTGTGGAGGATTTGAACCTAGTACATAGCATACTACTGCTGTCGACCAATATTCTACCTCATCCTTAATGTCCGCCTTTGTTATTTTCACATTCGTTTCACTTTTCTCCATTGTTAGGTCAATTTCTTCCTCTACTGGTATTTTACCCACAACATTACTCAACGATTTAATAATTGAAATAGTTGTTTTAGTCGAACCTGTATTATTGTTCATCTCCTCGTCCTCTTCTGCTCGATCTGCCCATGATTTCCTACTCTCCTCTGAATCTACATTTCCTTGTGGTGTTGTTGGGTTTGATATCAAATTGATGTCCAGCGGCACAATTCTTTGTATGGAATTGATACTCTTCACTTTTTCGCATCCCCTGTCTGTGGAACTCCCATGCATGCTGCATTAGAGGTCTGACTCCCACCCTTGTGCAACTATTTCTTTAAACTTTGGTTTCAAGCTCCACATATTGAAATATCTAAATACTGGTTATCTTTTTTGGTTCTCTGCCCACCTGATTATTGCTGGACTGTGATCATAAGTACCTTCATTCCTATAATGTACCTCTGAATCAGGCAAATTAATTATCCATTCGGTGTTTATCAGCACTCTATCTATCCTGCTGTATACTCTATCTTCACCTCTCTTTTTATTGTTCCATGTATAAAATGCCCCTGAAGATTTCATCTCTTGTAGTTCACATTCCTCTACACAATTCTTAAAATCCCTTATCTCTGACATTCTCACTTGACTTCCCATATCTTCTCTATTCAATACACAATTGAAATCACCCATTACTGCCCATGGTCCCCTCATTTGTTCATTAATCTTCTTGATTTCTTCCCACAAGCTCTTCCTTAATGCTGCATCATTAAAACCATACACTATAGTTACTGCAAAGACCATTCTATTACCCCTATGTTGTATTTCACAGTGAATTAGCTGTTCTGTGACACTTATTATGTTGACATNATGACACTCATTATGTTGACATCAAATATCATTGGCTTCCATAACACCCATATTCTCCCCCCTTTATGTTTACTCAAGTTAGTACTGTAGGACCAACCACTACACAGGTTAAGAGCAGCTCTTTGAGCTTTAGCTCTCTTAACCTTTGTCTCCAAGAGACCAAACATCCCAACCTGAGAATTGTGCATAAACATATGCATTTCCTTCTGTTTGTCAGGATTATTCAGTCTCCTGGTGTTCCAAAACCCAATTCTATTCATACTTTTGGGGATCTCCCCCACCCTTCTCCTCTATTACTCCGTTTTTTCTTTCGTCACCACTTCCTTTTACCTTTAACTTCATTACTGTCTGACTGGTACTTTCCTCCTCTGAGTTTTGTTGCTTCTCTAATGTTGTAAATGCATTTCTTATTTTCAATGGCTCTTCTGGTATTATCATTCCTCTTCTTGCATATTTCCCAGTTCTATACCCTTGTTTATAGTATCTTCCCCTCTCCATTTGTTCAAATCCTCCCTGCTGCTTCTGTATTTGTTGTTCCTCTTTCTCTATTTATGTTTTCCCCTGCTGTGTTCCTTCTCCTACATTTTGTTGTTCTATTTTTTCCTGCATTTCTAACTCTTGCTTCTTCTCATTCTTCTCATGTTCCTCCTTTATAAATTTTCGACATTCATTCAATTCATGACCATAATTTCTGCATTTCTCGCACATAACTGGTTTCCATTCATAATGAATTTTCTGTTCCACTATCTTTCCTGCCTCATTTTCAAACCTGATACTTGTTGGATATTCCTGATTCAATTTCACTTCAACTAATACTCTTGCATATGTTAGCCTTTCTCTCTTTGTAGTTGCAGCATCTGTTCTCAAAGGTTTTCCTATCAGCCCAGTAATTTTTGTAAGTGATGTTCGCCCCCAGTATTTGACATCCAGCCCCACCATTCTCACCCATATTGGAATGTTTTCCATATGTTCCTTAGTAATTTCCATATCAGACTTCGATGGCTTAACGATCATTGGTTTTCTGTCAAACATCTGCACTCCTTCTTCTACCACCTTATTCCTGCTTTCTATACTGTGAAATCGAACCATGAAAACTCTCCTGTTTAGTTGAACTACCTTATCAATCCCTAATCCTCCCCAAATTCTTCTAAAATAACCATCAATTATTATTTGTGGAGGATTTGAACCCAGTACATAGCATACTACTGCTGTCGACCAATATTCTACCTCATCCTTAATGTCCGCCATTGTTATTTTCACATTCGTTTCACTTTTCTCCATTGTTAGGTCAATTTCATCCTCTACTGGTATTTTACCCACAACATTACTCCACGATTTACTAATTGAAATAGTTGTTTTAGTCGAACCTGCATTATTGTTCATCTCCTCTTCCTCTTCTGCTCGATCTACCCATGATTTCCTACTCTCCTCTGAATCTTCATTTTCTTGTGGTGTTGTTGGGTTTTAGACATGCACCACAACACCACAAGACCAACCACTACACAGGTTAAGAGCAGCTCTTTGAACTTTAGCTCTCTTAACCTTTGTCTCCAAGAGACCAAACATCCCAACCTGAGAATTGTGCATACACATATGTATTTCCTTCTGTTTGTCAGGATTATTCAGTCCCCTGGTGTTCCAAAACCCAATTCTATTCATACTTTTGGGGATCTCCCCCACCCTTCTCCTCTATTACTCCGTTTTTTCTTTCATCACCACTTCCTTTTACCTTTAACTTCATTACTGTCTGACTGGTACTTTCCTCCTCTGAGTTTTGTTGCTTCTCTAATGTTGTAAATGCATTTCTTATTTTCAATGGCTCTTCTGGTATTATCATTCCTCTTCTTGCATATTTCCCAGTTCTATACCCTTGTTTATAGTATCTTCCCCTCTCCATTTGTTCAAATCCTCCCTCCTGCTTCTGTATTTGTTGTTCCTCTTTCTCTATTTATGTTTGCCCCTACTGTGTTCCTTCTCCTACATTTTGTTGTTCTATTTTTTCCTGCATTTCTAACTCTTGCTTCTT